TGAACTCCATGAGGTTTGCATTGACCCACCTCTCCAGCCTGTCCAGGTCCCTCTGAATGGCATCCCTTCCCTCCAGCGTGTCACCACACCACACAGCTTGGTGTCATGGGCAAACTTGCTGAGGGTGCACTCCATCCCACTGTCCATGTCTCCAACAAAGATGTTAAACAACACTGGTCCCAGTACTGACCCCTGAGGAACGCCACTCATCACTGGTCTCCACTTGGACATCAAGCCATTGACCACAACTCTTTAAGTGCAGCCACCCAGCCAACTCCTTATCCACTGAGTGGTCTGTCCATCAAATCCACGTCTCTCCAATTTAGAGACAAGGATCTCGTGAGGGACAGTGACAAATGCTTTGCACAAGTCCAAGTAGATGATGTCAGTTGCTCTTCCCTCTTCCACCAGTGCTGCAGCCCCATCATAGAAGGCCACCAAGTTTGTCAGGCACAATTTGCCCTTAGTGAAACCACGCTGGCTGCCACCATCACATGCGAGACAGTGAGATGACATGTAATTCCAGATGGCAGGTTTATTTTTTAAGTATAATACCTTTGCCTGGCTGGTTGAAACAGCTGGAAACCTCAAACGTGGAACCAAGAGTCTGAAGAGCATAGAATACTTTCTCTCCTGATAAGTATCATAAACCAGAAGCAATAAGAAACTTCAAAACATCTCTCTACAGAGCCACACATATTACAAAAACCAGAATGTTTACTACAAATATTACAGGACTAAAAATCTAAAGTTGACACTACTCTGCAGTTAGATTTCATCTTGATAAAGCTCCTAATTTCAACTCTTTAATAGAAGTATGACTTTGGGTTTTTTTGTAAATAGACATTAGAGATCGAACCGAGTTTTTCTTGACATGACAAAAGATGGCTAACTACCCAGGTGTCTGGAAGCAAGCTGTTTAAGACTTACACTATTATGTTCTTTCAAGAATGCTGCTGCATCTTCTTCAGCATTTCCTCCAATTTCCCCAATCAATATGATACCCTCAGTATGAGGATCCTTCAGGAAGACATCAAGGCAGTCAATAAAATTAGTTCCATTGAAGGGATCACCTCCAATCCCTGAAAAAAAA